TCAACTTGTTTTTGCTTTGGTACGAGGTTGAATATATGGACGATCTTATCGATAGTGCTTACAAACACCTCCCTAACTCCTCCTATTTTCTTTTCAGATACAAGCACTGGTGATGACTTGGCTTCAGATAATGCACAAGAAATTCATTGATACAAGTACTGATGATGACTTGTCTTTAGATAATGTTCGGAAAATTTATTGATATAAAAATATTTATGAAAACTTGGCTTAAGACAATTACCTTTCAATTTATTGAATCAGGTAATGACGATACCTTGGATTGAGATAGTGCTCAAGAAATTTATCGATAAAAGTACTGATGATGACTTGTCTTAGGACAATGCTAAAAAGGTTGATAGAATTACTGATGATGACTTGTCTTAGGACAATGCTAAAAAAGTTGATAGAAGTACTGATGATGACTTGTCTTAGGGCAATGCTAAAAAAGTTGATAGAAGTACTGATGATAACTTGTCCTAGGACAATGCTAAAAACGTTGATAGAAGTACTGATGATAACTTGTCTTAGGACAATGCTAAAAACGTTGATAGAAGTACTGATGATAACTTGTCTTAGGACAATGTTAAAAAAATTGATAGAAGTACTGATGATAACTTGTCTTAGGACAATGTTAAAACAGTTGATAGAAGTACTGATGATAACTTGTCTTAGGACAATGCTAAAAACGTTGATAGAAGTACTGATGATAACTTGTCTTAGGACAATGCTAAAAACGTTGATAGAAGTACTGATGATAACTTGTCTTAGGACAATGCTAAAAACGTTGATAGAAGTACTGATGATAACTTGTCTTAGGACAATGCTAAAAACGTTGATAGAAGTACTGATGATAACTTGGCTAAGATTATTATTATCATTGTTATTACTGTTTTGCTCATTTTCATCGATATTTAGTTTCAGTTAAGATGTTGTTAACATGGGTTTTCTCTTACTGTTTAAAAACCTGTTGGCAATTCTTTAGTCTACAAAGTAACTTGGTAGAGATATTTGTTCTAGTTGTTGCCCTTTGCCCTAGTATTCAAATCAAGAGTTATTTTAGCAATGTGAGGCCGTGAGTTATTTGTACGAGCGGTGTACAGAGAACCATGGCGAGGGAAACTTGTGAGATTTCACTGATGTCACCTGAATATTCATTTCAGATATGTAAACACTTCATTTGTCCCGCAGTGTTAACACCACCAGGTGTGGATTTAAACCTTTCTTGTGAGAGTCGACCAGGATGTGGAATGGCCTGCAAAATTATCTAAAATGTACTGTGCCTGTGTTGCGATACTGATCCTGTAAAGTTCGGTTTGTTTAAAATTTCTTCGATAAAATTGTTCGCCTTATGAAGCGTACAGACCAACATTCACTACGTTTTGTGTATAAACTCACAATATGTTGTTTTCCACATGTATGTGTTACACGCTGCTTGTCTGCGATAATATCTAAAACATTTCTACATGTTGTGCCTATCATTCGATCTCTTACATAACTAAAGCTGTTACAATCACGAATTCACGGAGATATATGTATAGACACAGAGACAAGGAATTAGTCGAAACTTCCCGATCTACATGAATTGTCCTGGAGCCTGGTGTCTGATCCCACCCGAGGACAGATTATATCATTGAAGCCATGGAGATTATCATCCAATAACTTAATAACATTGCTGGACATCAAGAAATTAACAACTGTTCTCTGTCCTCGCCCCTAGGGCATTTGGCTCAACACAGGGAATATTTTCCTTCTAAAGAAATGTAACGTTTTGCATTATTGACTTAAATATCCAAGTAAGCGATACAGGCCCTCTGGGTCTCTTGTTATGTTCTTGTTCTGAAGATATACTAGTGCCATATTTTAATAACATATTTTGTTATCTATCAACTACCTACTTGGTTTGTGAGTTTTACTCTCAATTGTAAGAAACAAAAACAAAACAAAAAAGAGTTGTGTTAAGTGTTTGTTATTTTGTACCACCGAAGTTCAATGACGTACGAGCGGAACCTGCATTTGACCTTCAAATTGTCTAACATCAGACCTTGTATCGGCGACAAAAAGTCTGGGCATATATAAGCGTAAAATATAGACCTGAGACCTAAACCTTGATATACATCAGCGTCTTACATGAAAAAAAATTAATCTTCAGAAAAACAGCTTTCTATTAAAAACATAGCTACTTATCCATAGAAGATATCGCCCTGAAATATTACAAATCTTCAGTTTGAATAGAAGACCTTTAAGCCAAACGCAATTAAATGCCTTTAAGAAATCACAAAATATTATAATAGTGTGTTGATGTTTTGTTTTTTGTTTTGGGGTTTTTATTTAAGTAATTATTGAATGGTAGTTCGTTAAGCTGATGTCAGAAGTAGCAGTATGATTTGGTTAGAATCCTGACTGATCTTTATACATAAGATAATTTTTAGCTAAATTACATAAATTAATACATTGTACTAATTACCCGCTCAAGTAGCTTACCCAAACGGCTGAACAGTGAAGCCAATTTATGATTCGAATAAATACTTGAATCATTACCTTCAGATACTAGAACAACACAGCAGTTTTCCAGCAGTGGGGATTTATACAGGATGCTAAGGAAAAATCATACTTACAGTATACGTTAGATAATGGTACGGAAAAATAATTAGATAATGATTTAAGCATTTGGTTGTCAACAGCGTGTGAGGGCCTGATGATTTAAACATTTGGTTGTCAACAGCGTGTGAGGGCCTGATGATTTAAGCATTTGGTTGTCAACAGCGTGTGAATGCCTGATGATTTAAGCATTTGGTTGTCAACAGCGTGTGAGGGCCTGATAATTTAAGCATTTGGTTGTCAACAGCGTGTGAGGGCCTGATGATTTAAGCATTTGGTTGTCAACAGCGTGTGAGGGCCTGATGATTTAAGCATTTGGTTGTCAACAGCGTGTGAGGGCCTGATGATTTAAGCATTTGGTTGTCAACAGCGTGTGAGGGCCTGATAATTTAAACATTTGGTTGTCAACAGCGTGTGGGGTCTAATGATTTAAGCATTTGGTTGTCAACAGCGTGTGGGGTCTGATGATTTAAACATTTGGTTGTCAACAGCGTGTGAGGACCTGATAATTTAAGCATTTGGTTGTCAACAGCGTGTGAGGGACTGATGATTAAAGCATTTGGTTGTCAACAGTGTGAGAGGACCTGATGATTTAAGCATTTGGTTGTCAACAGCGTGTGGGGGCCTGATGATTTAAGTATTTGGTTGTCAACAGCGTGTGAGGGACTGATAATTTAAGCATTTGGTTGTCAACAGCGTGTGAGGGCCTGATAATTTAAGCATTTGGTTGTCAACAGCGTGTGAGGGCCTGATAATTTAAGCATTTGGTTGTCAACAGCGTGTGAGGACCTGATGATTTAAGCATTTGGTTGTCAACAGCGTGTGAGGGCCTGATGATTTAAGCATTTGGTTGTCAACAGCGTGTGAGGGCCTGATGATTTAAGCATTTGGTTGTCAACAGCGTGTGAGGGACTGATAATTTAAACATTTGGTTGTCAACAGCGTGTGAGGGACTGATAATTTAAACATTTGGTTGTCAACAGCGTGTGAGGACCTGATAATTTAAGCATTTGGTTGTCAACAGCGTGTGGGGTCTGATGATTTATGTATTTGGTTGTCAACAGCGTGTGAGGGACTGATGATTTAAGCGTTTGGTTGTCAACAGTGTGAGAGGACCTGATGATTTAAGCATTTGGTTGTCAACAGCGTGTGGGGTCTAATGATTTAAGCGTTTGGTTGTCAACAGCGTGTGGGGACCTACCTGATGATTTAAGCATTTGGTTGTCAACAGCGTGTGAGGGCCTGGTGATGTAAGTATTTGGTTGTCAACAGCGTGTGGGGTCTGATGATTAAAGCATTTGGTTGTCAACAGCGTGCGAGTGCCTGATGATTTATTTACAATGTATGTAAAGTATACTGATAGTGCCGTCAGTTTCATTAGCCAAGATGTTTATTTCACATAAAACAGAATATATTTAAGTATCTCTGAGAAAAATGGATTACCTATCTATGTCGTGTACAAACCGAGCTAAATTAGTGATGAATAATTCACATTTCTGACAATATCATGTATGATTTCATTTGTAGTGCTATCCAAAATGGAGAAAAACTTAGGCTCTGTATCGCTGTTAAGTACCTTTCAGAGTCCGTTTACGTAAGCTGTTTTGTTTTTTCAATGACTTTGTTTTCATAAAACATTTCATTAGATCTCCGAATCATTTTTATTGACTTAATTTCTCGTGTTTACATTTACTGTAACTGGACTCGGTATTGTTACAAAACTTTGTAAGTCTGGACCCTGTTCTAATATTACTCAGTCTTATGCTCATGGCCATTCCCCATATTGTAACGTTTATCACCTTCTCGCACGTGCTGAGATTTCTGTAGGTGTTGCACGTAAGAAAAGGTCTGAATGAATGTCAGGCTGCCTTTGACACGGTGTCGCAAAAATATCACTCTGACAGAACCAATTCTCGGAGATTAAATTTGCGTTTTGAAATTTCATCATAAAGAGATTAACATGTTCCTAAATGCTTTTCAATCCGATAGGTTGTAATATTACGGTAACTGTGTAGTGTATCATATTTCGGTCTAACCCGTCCAATCAATCACTCAGCTAAAATGATTGAAGAGTCTCACGGCTCAAACTTCACGCCAGTATTATCTGAACCACAGACGTCCATGTTTTGTTTTTTATAGATCAAGACGTTCATGATATGTGTCATTGTCAGATATTACTTCTCTGAGTTACGCACAGGGTGTTGTCTGAACCACTATCCCAACAATCACGACGAAACAATCAACTCTCTATAAGCAAGTGTATTTTTAGTTTACTGATGTGACATCGTCATGGGGAATGACCAATCATTGTTATCGATCTAAAAATAGTTGCGCTTCAGTCATCACGAAGCAAATGTAAACGGGTAGCAGTAGTATACAGGATAGTGGTAAAGCTAGCGAATATGGACGGCAGACCCGCCCTAGGAAAAGTAAACGATCTTGCTACTTTAGCGAAACTCGACGATAAAGTTCTTCTGGATGAATTAAGAGAGAGATACAGAAATAATGATATATACGTAAGTAAGACGTAGGTAAAGGTGTTATATCGTTACAGGTGTGACAAGCGATGTCATCTGTGTGGACAATACACAATTTAAGTGTACATGTGTACCTACATGTTTAGTGTTCTCAGAAAACAATCATACTATCTTGAATTTTATAGCATTCCTGTGTTTTTGCAGTGTTGAAAAATGTACAAAGTATTTGATGTGGATTGAAATTCATATTTTGATGCACGATGTTGTATTAAAGATGTCGCCGTCATTACCTATTGGTGTGCACTGGTATATTGTTTACACTCAGTCGATACACATACCTAGAAATGTACTTCCTTGTCTCACGATTCAGAGAATAGTATATGCAGAGACGTATATGTGTTATATACGTCTCTGGTATATGTGATCTTACACCTTAAATCAGAAAAAAATATGGAAATAATATCGTATCTCAATTGTTGACAAATCTACCATATCATTTATTGAGGTTAATACCAAATTATTTTCATACCAGTTGATTGATATGACAAAATGACTTGACTACATATTTCTGCAGAATCAATTCACCAGCTTTTATATAGATACATGTTAGTGCATCAGCTTGTGTTTATTAAAATCTTCTTCAACATGGTGTGTGTGAACAGGTATAACATCATCTACTGTGGAATACCATTAATTAGGTATGTGTTATCTAAATTTGTATACAAGTGGAGCTGCATGCTTTGTTACTTCTGGAAGCAGAGTTCATGACTTAAAAATACTGTCTTCCTGGTGGCTAGGTGTAAAACGTCTATGACAGAAGATTGCAATTAATTTGTAAACGGTTGAGCTGATTCAGTATTCGGTGTCTTGTTTCACACTTCCTCGTCAGTCACCTATCCCCACGGTGGTATTTCTTTACATCTAAGGTGTCTCACTCCCTAGCAGCCAAGGTATAAGGTCAAAAACAGATCTTTAAATAACTTTGTCAGGTAAAACCAAGAATCAATCTCTGATCTGACACCTGTGAATTCTACCTGTGAATTTGTGTGTTTCTAAGCTATACAACTGCTGTAGTGATTACTTGAATATTGATGTACTACATCTGTTGAGCAGTGAATAGGTAGTCATTCACTTCAGCAATTCCATGTTCGTGGGGCCTGTGGACTAGTGTGAGAGTTATCTCCCTTTATTACATATTAACTGTTAAAATCCATGTTTTTCATATGGAATGGCACTTAAATGTTCTCAAAGCTGTAGTTGATGTAAGTTAAGAATACAATATTTTGCAAAAGCACATTTTCTCAGTTTGAATTGACTATGAAGGAGGCAAGATGGTGACAGGGCAGGGACATTAGAGAAGACCATGAGTCCAGCAGAATAATGTAGCCCATATTTGGCCCCACAGAATCATAAGAAAAGTACTGCTGGAGTAAACCAAAAGAGCTATTAACCTTTTCATAATCTTCTGAATAAACTTTCTAGTACCATGAATTGGTTGTCTCCAGGCTCACAGGTATCATAAGTTAAATTTGGAATGGGGTTCTGATGTGCCTATTATGCAAAACCAGTCAACCGTAAAAATGCAGCAAATGAAATACAGAAACAGCCGAGGCGTGTTGTGGTTGTATTTCATTACTTTCACTCATCGCCTATACAACTGCCCTGCATACCTAGATGTATCCACACAGACAGCTAGGGACCTTAGCTGGAACTTCATTGCACCTCAGCATTGGTTCCAAACTTTGAACCTCATCAGTTAAACTTTTGACAGCATGAATAACCAAAAGGTCGAAGGTCATGATATCAACCTGTGTCTGTTGAAAAGGGAATGCTCTAATATCATTGAGGTCAAATGTCCTAAAACAAACAAAGGGCACCTGAAAATACTTCTTAATATGAAGAGGTGTAGATATATAGAAATTCATGATATTCTTGGAGGAGATTTTGCTATTCATTTCACATTTACTGTAAAATTATTGATTTTGTGGGTGTTTTATTTTCATTGAAATTACAGGTACTCTATATCCTTTATTTTCTATGTCCATGAATTTATAAACAGATAGAAGTTGACATAGATTATAATACTTACAGATTTTGTGATCAAAATTTTCATTCATGAAGGATATTATCAACAAAAATGTTTTTTTGTTAAGAAAACCACAAAAATTTAGCTCCACTTAAACACATATTTTTACAGTAACATATAATTTGATTTTTTTTTCAGACTTATGTTGGAGACATATTAATTGCTGTGAACCCGTTCCGGGAGATTCCAGGGCTGTATGAAGATGCTGTAAGTTTGTTTGTTATTTTTATATGTCATTGCAACACTATAAGGCCATATGAAGACCATGTTCCATAAGTGATGGGGTCACTGATGGGAGCTTTGACAGTGTACGTAAGTAAACAAATATTTAAAAAAAAAAGAAAAAAGAAAAAATATATGTAAGGATACCAAGTTTAATTACCTCTTACAATAAAAAAAGATGACAACAGGTAAAAATTTGTATGTCCTATAACCTGTAGGATGATGCATCTACTTTATCACAAAGATGATGTTAGTATATGATATATCCATGTTGTAATCATTTTTTGGATAATTCTAGAAATATTGGATTTCTGAGTTGATTATGCATCAGATTTCATTGTTCTGAAGTTGCCATACATTATTGGTAATACCTTCCAAAATGTCACCTGCACTTATATAGAAGCAATCAGTATCGTTTTTCTACTTTTTTTCAGAGATCGTTGTTTTGGGGCAAAATGATGATAATCTAGTTTGATCTCTTGCTTCATCATTGTATGCATGAGCACTTGATTAATTATAATATAAATATCCCATAGTTGTTACACATCTAAAGTTACCTGTAAATATCATCATTTTTGTTTTCAGGAAAGTCAGCGATATTTCTTGGAGCAAAAGAGTTCTAATCCTCCCCACATATTTGCTATTGCTGACTCGACATATCAGAACATTATTGGCTATGGAGGGCGGGTTCCACAGAATCAGTGTGTTCTCATTAGTGGGGAAAGTGGAGCAGGAAAGACCGAAAGCACCAAGCTCATCATCAAGCAGTTGGTCGAGCTTTGTAGGGGCAACACCCAACTGGAACAGCAAATTTTACAGGTAGGTAATACAAGATATCTTGTGGTAAATATTTCTAGAGTCTGACTCTCCTGTTCAGGTAAATAAGATGTCTTGGAAGAATTTATAAAGTGCACATTTCAGTATTTTAAATGACTTCCAGGAACTTTCCCAGCTGGTGAGTCTTATGCCTTAGGACATCTAGTCTTATACGTACAAATAATCAGGAGACAACAAATTAACAAAAATTGCTCTACGTGTTGTAACAAAGTCAAATTAAAGGACTGAATGTATGCGAGTCAGGTATGATATATCTGCAGGTTAATTAATTCCATTGTTCCAATGAAGTGCTTTATATCAAAAGGTTAGTTGATATACAAATTGTATTTTGGTCAAATATTTTTGAAGACTGGTTGCATTTCGTTAATTATGCCTTTTTTATCAGTAAACTTAACTTCCATTTCAATCAAAAATATATACGACAACTAGTTCTGAGGAACACATTATTGTATATTTATTGAATAAGTTTTTCCATTTTTCAGGTGAATCCTCTTCTGGAATCATTCGGAAATGCTCAAACTCTGATGAATGACAACTCCAGTCGCTTTGGGAAATACATACAGTTGATGTTTAAAGAAGGCCATGGTAAACATTACCATATAATACTACTGTATTAACTCCGAAATAATCCCATTTCTGATAATAAGCCCACCTACCGTATATCTATTGCTGTTGTACAGAAATACAAACATACACAATTTCATTGACCTTCTCATTGACATTGAGTGACTCTGAGATAAAACTGTTTTATAAGTCTGATGTTGGGTTTATATCAGGATAAAGGTAGTAATTTGATTGAGCCAGACATTTAAATGCAAGAAAATGAAATTCTTGGAAAAAAAACTCAGCATTCTTGTTCATGTACTTTTATTCTGAAAATTTAATCATGTTTTAACAGAAAAGTAATAATCCCTATGTCCCATTTCAAATTAAGTTGCAAATACTGCACAATTATGTTACAAATGAAACAGAGAAAATGAGCTGAAATGAATGTCTACTTTTCGGGACAAAACATTTGATGTTTGTATTCTGTATATATTTGATCAAGGTTCTAATTTTGTTTATTTTCAAGGATGTCATAAAATATGGGGAAAAAAGAGATTACATTAATTTTAGATGGATATTGTAAGTGATAGCCCTTCCAACTTACTTTTTGTGTCAAACTTTTGACAAAGCCATGAACATTTGAAACATTGGGAAAAAAACACAGGGTATGTCATGATTTCTGAATCAAATTTTCAGTAATGGGAGCAAAGATATCAGAATACTTGCTGGAGAAATCCAGGGTTGTCAGCCAGGGCAAGAATGAGGAGAACTTCCACATATTTTACTACATGTTTGCTGGTTTGTCCAAGGAATACAAGGCAGCACACCATCTTCAATCAGCTGACAAATTCAGGTGACATCCCTGTATTCAAAGCCTGACTTAGTTTTAGTGATCAGTCATCACAAATGTACAGTTTTGTTTAATTTTCAATGTAGAATAGGCTCAATCCTTTACTGAGAAAAAATGTAAACTATGACTGTGGAACATTACAGGTTTATAATTAGATAACAACTCTTTGGTTAGTAACCTTATGTTAAGTATGACTGTAGTATATTTCAGGGTTTTGATTAAGTAACAAATCTTTGGTTAGTAATCTTATGTTAAGTATGACTGTAGTATACTTCAGGGTTTTGATTAAGTAACAAATCTTTGGTTAGTAATCAGTTTTTTGACATTTTCTTTTCTTTTGCTTTTAATGGTTTTTTATATAGCAATTATTTTAAAACCACCACAGTTTTTTGGGAAATAATATTTATTTACACTACATGAATTCTGATTTACACAAAAAAAAAGAAGTAAACTTTTGTCATTATATCTGTAATTTGTTCTGTTAGAATTGTTTTTCTTATTAATACATTAAGATCAAATCTGGCAAACTGTTTACTTTTCTGAGGAAACTAGTAATTGATCATTATTTTTTTGATGAAAGTGATAATATTAGGTTTTCTTATCTCAGATACCTGACCAATGGGGCATCCTCCCTGAAGAGGGACCCTGATTTGATGAAAAGTCGGTACGAGGAGCTGGTCAATGCTATGGATATGGTGGGATTTACAGATGAGGTAAGTAGTAGTTGAGGTCATAAGGTCAAAGATATATATCAACATCATTTATGAAATATTTTCAAAGAAATGAAAAATATTTCTCATTGAATGAAGTTGAAGTCATGAAGATGAAGAATTAGAAAAACAGGATATAGTTTGGTAGATACATAATGATAATACATAATTTTATAAATGATAAATATGTATGTACAAATGTTGTTAGATATCTTTTATGTCTTCACTTTTTCTTGGCTCTATCTCAATTTTTTGTTTGTGTACTAGTTTTAAGGGACACTGTTTCCTTCTCTGTTACTTTGCCCAAACATTTGACATTCTAAAAACACTTCATTTTTTGTTTTTCCATAGGAGCAAATGAGTACTTTTAATATGATAGCTGGCGTGCTTCACCTCGGCAATGTCACCTTTGATATGGATGATAACGATGCAGCTTTCATACAGAATGAGAATGGAGCCGTCAAATTTGCATCTGTATGTGACTTAAAAATTATCCTGTCATTCCAAATATACCTAAAATTCTATCATCACAGTTCTAACAGATATCAGAACACAAAATATAAATTGTCAATTGAGATAATGCACATCATGGATATGAATTATATATATATATATTTTTTTGTGAAAACTGTATTTTTGAAATTGTCTTAGTGATAAATTAATGGAAGAGACATTATTATGATAATATAACAACATAAAGGGTATTGTTTTGGTGTTGTTGTATAAAAGGTACAAACAGAAAATATATATGTGTTATCTCACTTCTCATTATTCATCGTATATTACGTCATAATGTTGTGACTAAGACAATCACAAAAGATGGCCTTAAGAGAGACAACAGGTTCAAAAACTTAAATGAAATAAAAATTTTGTCTTGTTGATGTTTACATATATATAAACATATATTTGCAGTATTCAGTTTTTGGTGTGAAAACATCAGACAGACTAGATTATACTAATTCACTTTTTTTCATCTCCAGCAACTGCTCGGGATTAATACACAAGAAGTTGTGGGTACACTTACTTCAATGGTCACTTTTACCCGTGGAGAACAAGTCAAGCGTAATTATACCGCAGAACGGGCTAGAGGTGAGTGTAATGTTATCACTTAAACTAGGTTCTTGTCTTCATATCGAAGTTTCTCTTTCCCTGAAACCCTCAGACCACGAAGTTGATATCGTGTGAATGAAGCATTCAAATTCAGAAAACACAATTGAAAAAAGCAATGTGATAGTACTGTGATCTTTACTGTTATGTGAGCAAAAACCATCAAAAATGTCTTACAGGAAAGTTTTATTTAAAAAAGGAAAGCATTCAGATCTGGAATAAACTGACTGTCATGTCCAAAATCCTTCATTTTCATGTAATGTCACAAAAATCATGGAGAAACATTTTGTATTCCAATTAAAGAAATTTCACAAGTTAGTCCGAACATTTACAAGATTGCGATTATATTCTCAGATGCATGTGATGCCATGGCTAAAGCTATCTATGGGCGTCTGTTTGGATGGATTGTCAACAAAGTAAACCAGTTATTAGCCCCTCCTAGAATACATGCAGAACAGAGAGAGATTGGTATGTCATTATAAGTGTTTCTATCACAACAGAAACCTTTACAACTAAATCACTACATTTATACGATGAGTTGGTGTTTTCAGTTTCTTGGCTCAGCTTTGACACATTTACATTGGCTCAAGTTTACCTTGAGAATTTGATGTAAACTATTTTGCTCATACGTATTTTTTCATCAAAATTAATTAAATTAAGTGTTTTAACCAAACTTTTATTAATCAGTTAATAATTAGTGATTATTTTGGATATTATTAATTATGAGAGGCTGGCATATGCATGCCAAATGATTTGATTTATTGAATGTGGAATGTGATATACTAGGGGTGGAGTTATATGTATAATCACAAAAAAATGCTTATCAACAAGGATGATTTTTGAAGGTGTTTATGCGATTGGTTCATCATTATGATATTTTGTAAAAGTACTTTCTTTTATTTAACAATATTATTTACTGGGTATTAGTAAAACTGATTTTATTATTTTTTCCATGTATATTATTTATCATGGAGTAAAAGATTTCTGAATTTCTCCAAAAATTTCATTAGAAAAAATTTATAAAAAAAAAAAGTACATATACATCTGCCTGAATTGTGCATTAACAATTTTCATTTTATTTACAAATACTGATAAGTCATTGGAAGCCCATCAAAGAAAATGAAGTTAAGGTTGTAACACAGTGAGAGCACTTAAATAAAGAAAACAATTCTGTAGAATGAGACTACATAACATTAATTAAAGTAACAGCACAGTAAAATGGGTTTTTATAAAATAATTTTTTTTTATCATTGCATAAACATAACAAGTGTATTACCTTATGAACAATGACAGTTGATTTTTGCTGAAGTATGCACATAAAGAGGATAATTAATGATTAAGGAAATCTATATCTGTTGATCAACAGTCAGGACAGGTTCATTTTTCATTTCATATATGATAAGGCATATTCCCAAAACACACCTGCAAACAAAAATGGCTTCCCACCGAAATCTTTCGGCAATTAATGTTCCTTTTTTCGTTATTCATAATTGACTTACAGTTGTCAAATAACATTGGGTACCTCCGTAGCAAATTCTTGTAAAACAGTATTTAAATGACTGTCGCTACTGTCGCTATCATCTGTTTATGTTTACAAAATGAACTGCCTCGTTTTCAAAACTATTGCATGATGTTATCAACGCTAAATTTGATAGGCATTTCCCGAACCAAAGAAGAGGTCAAGCTGATTATTGGAAATTGGCTATGAATATCGGGATAGCATAGAAACATAACTGGAAGTGTATACAACATGTACAATCCGAAACAAACTCGAGGATTTTACTGTGATATCCCTTTCATATATGATAAAAAATACTGAATGGTTTTATCTTTTGTATTTTCCATTGTCTAGGTATTTTGGACATCTTTGGTTTTGAACATTTTGAGAAGAACAGCTTTGAACAAGCATGCATTAATCTGGCCAATGAACAGCTGCAGTTTTTCTTTAATCAGGTATCTTTACATAGAGTTATTGTCCTTTGTTTACAAAATGTGTTTCATATTTTGTATATTTTTTACACTGAGTACATGTATATATCATTTTCTCTGTGACAATCTCTTTGCATACGAGCTGTTACACACTTTAGGTGTACAGATGTATAGAGTTAATGCCCTTTGTTAACAATTTCTAATTTTGGGCATGTAGTATCAAATATAATCAAAATGTCAAATCTTGTATATATATATATATATATATATATATATATATGAATCCCCAAAAATCACTGATGAATGTCAGTATGTTGGTAGTAATAGATGTATTTTTTGTAGATATGTAAAACAATTATAAGTTTACCCTATATAATTTAAATCACACACTTGTGTATTTAGATCCAGTTATTTAGATTTATTATTATAAACTACTGTAATTATTCTGTATTTTAGTTCTGTACATATATCCCTATACCTGTATGTGTATGTAACAGTTATAGCCAGCCTGTAAGACGATTGGGAGAAGAAATCTTATGAAAGGGCAATTCTGAGTCATGTTTTTCCTGTGTTTTTATAACCTAGTATATCTCTTTGTCTCTGGACTCATCACAAAAAATCCTTCAGAAAAAAGACTAATTTATATATCAATCATTTACAGCATGTTTTCAAGCTGGAGCAGGACGAATATACCAAGGAGGGTATTGACTGGACGGAGATCAAATTTGTGGATAATCAGCCACTCTTGGTGATTAAAATTTATATATATATATTTAAAGACAGTAACTTGCTTTAATGTCTTGACAATTTTGTTAAAGCGATAACTGAATGCTGATTTTTCTGGTTATATGACAAAGCAAACCAATATTTCAATATCATACCTACCTAGGTATTTACAAAAACAATTTGTTGTCTCAGTTTCCAATGTACTTACAATGATCATGCCTTTTCCTAGAATTTGTTCCTGAACAAACCTATTGGAATCCTGTCCTTACTGGATGAAGAGACCAACTTCCCAAAGGTAAATAAACCTACAAATAGTGTCATTGTATTCAGATCCATAAATTTCCAATGACAGGATACATGGTCGTCATATCATCAAAAACTGTACGTTCAAAATACTGTACAAATGCTGTCAGATACTTTCCTGTTCTTATTTATTAGATACCAACAATATTTATGACACTTAGAAAGAAACAAACATCCTCAATTTGTTATAGTCATATATACAAATGTGTTTAAAAATATTTACTTTTAAGGTTTTAAAATAAAATTGCATGCTCGGTGAATCTATGGTTAAAATATTTACTATTTGCTATTTAGGGAACAGATCAGTCTTTTGTTGACAAATTGGACATTCACTTCCATGGGAATGGCTACTATACAAAATCACAACAGAGTACATCGGGAAAATTTACAATCCATCATTACGCTGGCAAGGTAAGTTGTCATTAAAGTTATATTGTTACTAAAGCTATATTGTTACTAATGTTATATTGTTACTAAAGGTAGATTGTTACTGAAGTGATATTGTTACTAGAGGTAGATTGTAACTTAAGTTATATTGTTACTAAAGGTAGATTGTTACTAAAGATAAATTGTTACTAAAGTTATATTGTTACTAAGGGTAGATTGTTACTAAAGTTATATTGTTACTAAAGATAGATTGTTATTATAGTTATATTGTTACTAAAGGTTGATTGTTCAGAACATTATTACACTGATGTATGTATCACATATATTAGATGTACAGGAGTATAAGATTCTGTTTATCTTATCATTGATGTATGCATCACATATATTACCTGTTCAGGAGAATAAGATTCTTTTTATCGTAACACTGATGTATGTATCACATATATTAGATGTACAGGTATGTGAGATTCTTTTTATCTTATTGCTGATGTAAATATGAAATATCTGAAATGTACAGTAGTGTATGATTCTATTTATCTTAACACTGATTTATATATCACATCTATAAAATGTACAGGAGTGTAAGATTCTATTTATCATAAAATGTTGACATTACAAATTTAAATTTGTACATTCTGGTTTATTACTTTTTCTATTAAAGCAATGTTAATCTAAAGACAACAATTTTTTTACTCTTTTCCTATGGTATAATTAAACTGAAGCTACCAGCCATGATCAACTGATATTCAGATAATATAGGTGTGTTTTAACATCTGACAGGTGACATACGACTCATCGTCCTGGCTGGAAAAGAATCGAGATACCCTTCCCCCAGGTGTCATGGAGATGTTACAAGGCAGTACAGATGATCTTGTTAAGCTCATGTTTAGGGGTAAGAAAATATTAAAACATTCTGTTAATGATGTTTTTGATATAGTTTGTTATCTAGGTTTGTTGCCTCATCAACAGCCAGGGTCATTTTGAGGTGGCATCTCCTTTTAGTAACTGGTGACTAATTCTTTGAACACACTACAGAAGGCTGGTAACATGCCATCCAATGCCTTTCAGAGTCAAATGCTTTGCACAAGATCACAACCATGACAGTACAGACTGTTTATGAGAAACACAATTGAACCACCGTGAGATGATCGAGAGATCGCCAAACTTTATAAAATAAATATCTAAACAGAGAAGAACCTGTTCAGTTAAAATTGCAAATATTTACAAATACCTAATGTAGACGTTTTTCAAAGGTCAAAATGCTTACATTTACTTTCGTTAATGACTTTGTTTCTTTGAGTTCCACGGCTTTTCATGGCAACAATAGACCTGATTTCTTATATCAGATTAAGGTGTTACATTTACAAAAGATCTTTCTTATTCTTCAACACTACATTTAATTGGATACATTTTCGACTTATTTAGCTATCCATCAGTGAATGGTAAAAGAATATGCTTACTGTATCACAATATCGTAAGAGATGTTGGAATTTTATCTTTTCTTTCCTGCTTACCTTATTTTTCTGTGCTTTTTCTTCTGTTGTTGTCACCCTAGACACCCATCCTCAAAATGACCCTGGGTGTTTGGTGTCACCCTAGAAACTAATCCTTATAATGACCTTGGATGTTGGGTGTCTCCTAAGACAACCGTCTTCTGACCCTGGTTATTGGGTGTTTCCCTAGACACCGTCTTAAGATGACCTTCACTGATTCAAGGACATAAACAAGCCATAGTTATTCAGCAATTGGTTAGTCGGGGTGGTTTCAGATTTGTCAGTTTGAAATTATTTGACTTTGTAAGGATATCTCTTATTTGAATAGTGGTTTTTCAGGTCAGGTAACAAGAACAGGAAGTCTGTCTCTTCAAGCCAGGAAATCTACAAGCAGACGGACACGAAGAAGCAAGGTGATCTTTTTCTTATGAAGAGTCAAAAATAACTTTTGGTAAAAAAAGCTAGTGTGATTATCCATGAAGTACTTGTAAAGTTAGCCCAGGGCAATATCAGCTCCAAAAAGCAGTTGTCACCTACACACAAGGTCAATATGAGGAATCTTTTGACCTGCTGCCACTCTGTTCACCTGGATCTAAAATAATCGTCGGGAGATTTTCATGATGTGGTTTTTTTTATATGAACAGATTACAGTAAAAATGTAAACACCTCATTAGAAAGCTACTTAATATCATTATTCTTTAGTCAAATTATCAATGTCCTTTTCTTTTATCACAGAAACCATCAATGGATGGTCGCAAAAGGAAACTCACTGTTGGAGGTCAATTTAAGGTAAGTACAGTAACAGATTGCCAAGGTCACATCACATTGCCAAGGTCACATTTCTCTTTTCTTTCAATTAAACTTAAAAATTTATTTTGTAATTGTAAAACATTTTTTATCATTTGTAAATAAAAGACAACATGTTGGTAGTTCAAGAAAACAACTCGAGGGAGTTTCTGTTGTTTTACTGAAAGCTTCAGAGGCTGGCATAATACATCAGCTGGAACTGCTGTTGGTAATGTCATGATCTGTTTTTCACAATTTATCAAATCCTTCATAAAAAGTATGAAATATTGTTTTATTTTACATATGACGTGAAAAAAATATCTTCTTTCACCGTTAATTATCATGTATTTAGTGAAAAAGACGGGCAAAACATTGAAAAGATTGGAGATCTGGCATACTATCAGCCTGATAACATAGATGTAAAGAATTGTCTTAGTAAACAAATTTACATACATGTCCTTTCAGAACTCATTACAAATCTTAATGGAGAGAATGATGTCATCATCCCCTGTGTTTGTACGATGTCTGAAGCCGAACCACGTCAAGGTTCCCGGCAAGTTTGACGAGACGTACATCAGGGACCAGGTAATCTTAAAACAGAGATCTGTGTAAAAGATTGTGAGATATTTCTAAGACACTTAATTAAATAGGTCAGTTGGTTTGATATTTGTATACAAATGATAGTAAATATTAAAAGCTATTTAGTCCAGTACATATTTTATGGTTTTTCTGTGGATTAAACAACTTACAGGGTTTATCAGATGTCCAACATAATATAATTGAATGTACAGATCAATTACACTGACCCAAAGACACATTGGCCAAAATAACAGAACAAAATAATTCTGTAATGATGAAATTCTTATTAGGGTCATAAGCTTTAATACTATTTCCTAATAGATTAATTACACATTGACAGAATTATGTCCTTACATCCATGTTGTTTCCTTCAGTTATTGTACACAGGGATGTTGGAGACAATTAAAATAAGAAGAGAAGGTTTTGCAGTTAGACCATCCTTCCCAGAATTTGTGGAAAAGTAAGAATATTTTTGTGTCAAACAAACATTCCATAATGTCATTTTTTTGTCTCTAAATTCATTGATCTGAGAATAGATAGACACCAGAGAAGTATTTAGGCCGGGTATTTTTCTTATCTTAGAAAAAATCTGAAGATATATCCATTTTCTGATTTATTTTGTTACAATGTTGTATACATAATATTTAAATTCTTAGTGTTGATAAAGAAACGTTCTGTGAATTTCATTGTTATTCTCACCTCAATGACAGTGTAACAGAAACATCATCCTCGATACTCCAGTGACTACACTGCACCCTTGAAACATGTCATGGCAAAACTGAAGGTTGCTTGTTCAACACCTTGTGGACAAGACGAATGCTGGATAGTTTGATCCTTTGATGTATATCAAACAAATCTTGAGGTCGCATAACCGTATAATTGTAATGGCTTTGAACTTGGGTGTCGCTCCTCTGTGATCTTCAATCTGCGATTGGTCAGTGTTTCTTTCCTGGAACCAACCAAATTCTTCGCTTTTGCCATCAATTTAGCCATGACATGTTTCAGTGTCGCAGCGAGGGAAAGTGATCATAACTCCTGGAGTACTGAGGATGCAGAAATGTTGACCTAATAAGATGTGTTCCTTTTGTCATAATGGAATGATGGGAAATGTAAACATTTTATGTAATCATGATCAGACAATGTGTCACCCAGCTTCTCGTTGAGGTCACAATGTTATTTTTCATTGTAGCTGCCTCTTTTCAGAATGTAGTTGAAGGTCAAGGTCATTATTTTGGTGTTCAGTGTGTTGTTATACTAAGATACAATGTCAAGGTCAAAGATCCTACTTTCAATCTCATGTCAAGGTCAAAGTAACAATTAGATTATAAGCTTAGTCAGTGTTATCATAAGTTTGCACTTTTGAATGGCAAAATTTAATACAATATTCCTTAGTGTATTTAGGACATTTTAAGACTCTAGATATGTTCCCCAGAATGTTATAAATTTAACCCCTTTCAATGTACTTTATTGCAAGGAAAACTTCTATAGTGTACTGTAATGTTGATTGTTTTAACCTCTTTTAAACGTCACATTGACAGTGCTGTTCTTCTGTCTACATTAATGTTGATGTAGGATTTTTTAGTGAAGGTAAAAGTGACAAATTTGTTTTGTAATGAAAACTGACTCCTTAAAATAGATATGTAGGAATCAAAGTTTTCTTTTGTCGTGTTGTACATGTACTGTCCAACTGCCCTCAGGTACAAGATCATCCTATGTAAGGCCAGTTTGGATGGTAACAAACAAAACTGTGTCAAGATTCTCAAGGCCAGCAAGATCACTGGGTGGCAAGTTGGGTAAGTTTGGCCTCTGTTTTGATATGCCTGTTCCTCTATATATTTTAACAATTGTTCTGTTCAACAAGCATGAAGATAATTCAAGGTAAGAGTGGATTTCCATATTTGTTTCATACAGTTTAGTAAGAAATTTTTTATTCTTTGTAAGAATTAAATCAATAATTTTATGTAACAATTGTTTGGTGAAGTGTGAGAAAATAAATTTACACTATGTTTTTTAGCACTTGATATTAAGAAATGTCTGTTTACGAGAATTGTATTTTATAATTTTGCAGGAAAACCAAAGTTTTTATGAAGTACTACCACCTTGAACAGTTGTCAGAAATCTTCAAAGTTATGGGGCAATCTGCTGTCCACCTCCAGAAAGGTAATTCAGCTTAAATTAGTTAAAACTATAAAATGTTTTCTAGCATGTCTTACATCTCAGTGTAAGAAAAAATATCCATTATTTTCTGTACATATATTCTTATAAAACTCCACTTGATGTCCTCAATGTTTTGCTGCTAGAATATGTATTGTACACCTTATCTTGGTGTTTGAAGAGAAACTGCATATGAAAATCTAGTTACATTTGTCATATGCTTGTCTCAATATGTAACAATATGGAGTCAAGGATCAATAATTATAGGAATAGTTTTGCTATGTAATTTGCAATTATTACTAAAGCTAATGTCATGCTGCTCTATGTCTGTTGGTAGTTGTGAGAGGTTTCCTGGCCCGACAGCATGTAAAGGCACAGAGGTTGGAGGCCCAGAAACAGTCTCAACGTGTGTACAATCTTCTCTCCCAGATAAATAATCTTGCTATAGAATTCAGCAACCATCAACACAGTGCCCGTGTCCATGACAAATCCATTCCTCCAGGTATGTACACTTACATCCATCTTTAATTGTCATGTCTTAGTTAACACACATCAAAGTATGTACTGATTTGATAATTGAATAATAATTCTTTACACTAAAAAAATTCATTCAATACTTTTTTGATCTGGGTAGAGATTTCTGATGTTAGATTTGAATGCATACAGTCACATGAAAACTTTATCAATAATAAGATTTCAATCTCAAACTTCCAAAATTTATCAATTGCAATGCTGGAAAAACAAAAAAAAAAAAAAAATGAAGGGAATGCAAAGTGACTATCACATATGAATGTGTTTCAAAATTCTACCTATTCAGATGGATGAAATGAAAAGAAATTGACAATTTTGGATATATATTAATTTTTTCATTAGAAATTTTAAGTTTTAAATATATGAGATTCTGCTTCTGCATTCCTTTATTAAAAAATATATTTCAATACCAGCTAGATTGACTATCTAGTGAATTGCCTGAAGTGTGTTGTTTATTTGTTATTCTCCTTTGTACTTGCAATTTTATTCTCAAGAAGACAAAATGTCTGTATTTTGTGTGTTATTATGGTTTTTTTTAATTGACAGAAAATGAACAATTTTGCATTTACTTATGTGGTACATTGATGGTTTATTTCTAGCCTACTTTAGAAACGGACAAGATGATGAGTTACCTCCCCCTCCTGTCCCATCTTTCGATGGAATAGCAACTCCACGAAGTTCAGGGAACAAATACATGGAACCTGTTGGTCCAACTTCACGTTCATTTGGCACTCAAGTAGGATGTGTTTTTTATTCTATAACATTTTACTTTTGATATCAGGTTCTCTTATTGATGGGAGTTTGTCTAGATCCAGTTACTTTTTTCACTGGCTGAAGAATTGCAATGAAAATTTATATATTAGTCTCATCAACTTCAGAATTCATGAATTTTCCTTTTTCATTTTCCTGACAGTTATTCCCCTTTAACATCGTTATATAAAATTGTTCAAACACACCTTCTCAATTAGTCACGATTTATGGTCAGTTGTGATCAGTACCTGAAGTCACTCCCTGGCTTCTACTTATTATTCATCTTTTTTGTAGTTTTCAAAGGAGTTGTACCCCAATTATTGATATATTTGTGTAAAAAGTGGGATCAGGCATTGTTGGACACAAGACTTCAGCATCAAACTTTCTTTGATTTGTTCTCTCCAGTCTCCTATATAGAATTAATTATAGTATGAATTCCATACATTTTTGTAGTTTTCACAACAGCCATTTTATTTTTCCAGTAATGCTAAATTACACATGTTCTTTCCTTTTTCAGGCTGATAGCTCTGATTCTGATCAGTTCTCGGACGACGAGTTTAAACCAATATCATCCACTCAGTTTGGTACACCAGGGACACGCCAGGCAACAGTCAAATGGTTCAAGGAAACACAAGCCCAGCAAGTGTATGACCCTGCGGTTAGTAGTTTCATCGCTGAATGGTTCCATGGCGTTATCAGTCGAAGGTAGGTCAGATAATAAAGAGCTATGATTGTTATACAGCATTGCTGAACTTGGCTAAATTTGAATTTTAGCTTCATTATTCCAGCATATTCCAGTCATATGTATTGATAAGATTTTTTCTTCAAGTGTGTTCTCATTTTCATGTTTTAACCTTCCAGAAGCTCAGAGGTTCTTCTTGGTTCCAAACCTGTAGGCTGTTTCCTCATCCGAGTCAGTGAAAGTCGATTTGGTTACACCTTGTCATTCAGGTATCACAATTAATAAGTTACTGTCTGCATTCTGCATACAATTATTTGATCTCATTCATGTCAATTTTTTTCAAAATTAATCAATATTTAAGAAACCATCTTTTTATTTGAAAATGATACTTTGTTCTTGTGTGGTGATGTGTGGAGATGAAGAAGTCCAAACACTGTTCAGGTGTTGGAGGTTTATTGAGATGTAGGCTATGGAGATGGGACACTCACATGCCTTAAGGAACCAATACATACTGGCTCTAAATGTGGTCGTATTTATACTAGCCATGTTAATAAACTGATTAAGTACTATTACACATTAGCTAACAGGTAAACATGGATTGAAGTATACATGAGTTGTCGACAAGGTCTTGCACACATAAAGGCAATGGATTCGGCTGTTTACAACAAAATAAAGTTACACTGACCATCATACAAACTGCTTAGATAGGCTTCAGGTAATGACTTCTATAATTAGGGAACAAACTAATACATGAACATGTGTAGTAGATCAGTAATGACAGAATACCTCTGGCCACTGGTCAATACATAATTGTTCACAGTAGATGTCAGTACTAAATGAACACAGGTGAAACATCTGACTTATGTCTAGCATAATTTTGAATCATACATATTAACTTTTTATAGTTAAATTTTTTATTCTATTAATTACCATAACAACTATTTAAGGCATAACAAACATTATTGATTGAGACATATTGACTTTGATATATTAGTAATAATTTTGATAAAAAATGTTGGTAAAATAAAATAACGATTCCTTTATTGATATGACGTCTTAATTATAACTGTATCTGAAATCCAACATGACCGACTTCTTCTCAAGTTCAAAATTTGAAATCTTGTATTTTATGTGAGATGACCGTTAAGGCCCATGGGCCTCTTGTAATTGATACAGTAATTCAGTAATAAACAGAAAACCATCAGTCCAAGAAAATGATATCTCCAGAATAGAAGATATTAAGTTAGTACTTATTCAGTTAAATCAGTCTATTAGTCTACTCATTGTATGTAATGATTATCTACATGTGTCTTTCAGAGGTGAGGGGAGAGTGAGACACTACATGATTGATCAACTGCCAAATAAAAAGTTTGTGATCGTTGGCGAAAAAAAAGTCCATCGAACATTGAAGGATCTTGTTGAATACTACAGCACAGTAAGTCAAGGCACCATGTAGTTTCTATTTCTTCCACATTATCACTTTACATGGTGATATAACATTTATAATATAATAGCTTTGTTTAGCTCTACTTTATCTAACTCTTAAACCTGTGTTTCATGGTGCTATTCATTTGTGTGTCTTTTCTACAATTCATTGAGGTCATTAGATGGGGTAGAAGCCATAGCTCAATTGAAGTTTGAACACAAATGTTGACAAAGGTGACTTATAAAGTGTCTCAGTATTTCATATGAAATAAATCATTCGTTTTGATATTAATTTTCTACTCAACAATTTGTATAATACTATTGGTGTATAGAATTGATCTAGAGATAATTATCATTGACTGTAATCATATCAGAATGTTCAAATGAAAAAGATGATTTCATTTGAAGAAAGAAAAAGCAAACAGTTATCGTGTACATTAATTTTTCTGTCAGAATCATCTTTCTAACTGGGATGGATTTCTGAATGAAGCTTGTGGACAGGTAAGTCTGATGATAATGAATTAAAATCACTTTGTAAATTTCAGCATTTAAGGTAGCATTTACCATGAATAAATAAAGAAAATTAAAACAAAAACAGAAATACTGCTGCTTTTGATTATATGAAGTTGGATTATTGTATGAAATTTAAATATTCATGGTAGCCAGGGTTTAGAAAAATATCCATGACTATATTTATATTGAAAAGTGAAATTTTGTGGATCAGCTTGTGAGTTAAAGCCCCTATTTACAGTGACCACCCAATATTTTATGGTCAATGCTCCATTTAAGGGTACACTTTATAATATAACGAGGGTAAGGGGACAACACAATAAGGAAAAATGAGTTACAACTGTGTATTTGTAAGGGGTGATAAATATGGACTCCTGCAGGATGAAAAGTTTTTAAAATTTCTTACTGAAGACTAAGAAATATGGTTTGCTGCCTTAATCCTAACAAAGTCAGGACCTGCCTTAACTTATCATTATTTGATGTATTTATACAGGAGGATGGGAACTGTGACTACCAAGAACTGATGGCTGATAGCTATTACTTTAAGCTTGAGAAAGAGGTGAGTCTTACTAGACATGCTGCTATGATAAACTTTTTCATTTAAATCCTGTATATCAAATTGAAGAAAATTTCATGTTACTGGTCGTTCAAATACCGGTATTTAGAATAAAAAAATATGAGAATACAAAATATGCACGTTTTATGCACTATTTACTTGAATGATTTTAATTTCAATATCATCTAGAATTTTTAATCAATATCACAAGATGTTATTTGGAAGAATTCAAAATTTATATGGCCTAGGGCATTTGGTTGTTAAACATAAAACATAGTTTTATGGACAATTTAGTTTCCCTTTAGCTCAATTTTTAATCTCCATGAAAAACTGAAAATGTCTTGTGCTTGTTTCTTAAAAAAGAACCATAACACTTAAAAAGAGAATTGGAACTGTTGTTTATTTTGAAAATGCTTTCTTTTATAGAAAGTGAAGGTGTACTTAAGTAATAGCAATAGTTTTTGTTGTTAAGTCTTTGCATAGTATGAGCAAAAATTGTTCAGTGCAGCTCCGAGTTCTTGGACTTAAAAACCAGCTAATGATTCGTTAATTCTTTTGGCATTGTATTATTCTACATTGTATTATTCTACATTGTGTTACTAATTTAACAGTTGATTGTTTTGTTCCACATTGTGTTACTAATTTAACAGTTGATTGATTTGTTCCACATTGTGTTACTAATTTAACAGTTGATTGATTTGTTCCACATTGTGTTACTAATTTAACAGTTGATTGATTTGTTCCACATTGTGTCACTAATTTAACAGTTGATTGATTTGTTCCACATTGTGTCACTAATTTAACAGTTGATTGATTTGTTCCACATTGTGTTACTAATTTAACAGTTGATTGATTTGTTCCACATTGTGTTACTAATTTAACAGATGATTGATTTGTTCCACATTGTGTCACTAATTTAACAGTTGATTGATTTGTTCCACATTGTGTCACTAATTTAACAGTTGATTGATTTGTTCCACATTGTGTCACTAATTTAACAGTTGATTGATTTGTTCCACATTATGTCACTAATTTAACAGTTGAATGATTTGTTCCACATTGTGTCACTAATTTAACAGTTGATTGATTTGTTCCACATTGTGTCACTAATTTAACAGTTGATTGATTTGTTCCACATTGTGTCACTAATTTAACAGTTGATTTATGTGTTCTACATGGTAAAACTAGGTTAACAGTGGATCAATGTGTTTTACATTGTATTACTAGGTTAACGGTTGATAGATGTGTTCTACATTGTATTACTAGGTTAACGGTTGATAGATGTGTTCTACATTGTATTACTAGGTTAACGGTTGATAGATGTGTTCTACATTGTATTACTAGGTTAACGGTTGATTGATGTGTTCTACATTATATAACTAGGTTAACGGTTGATTGATATGTTTTACATTGTATTACTAGGTTAACAGTGGATCAATGTGTTTTACATTGTATTACTAGGTTAACGGTTGATAGATGTGTTCTACATTGTATTACTAGGTTAACGGTTGATAGATGTGTTCTACATTGTATTACTAGGTTAACGGTTGATAGATGTGTTCTACATTGTATTACTAGGTTAACGGTTGATAGATGTGTTCTACATTGTATTACTAGGTTAACGGTTGATTGATGTGTTCTACATTATATAACTAGGTTAACGGTTGATTGATATGTTTTACATTGTATTACTAGGTTAACAGTGGATCAATGTGTTTTACATTGTATTACTAGGTTAACGGTTGATAGATGTGTTCTACATTGTATTACTAGGTTAACGGTTGATTGATGTGTTCTACTTTGTTTTACTAGGTTAATGGTTGATAGATTTGTTTTACATTGTATTACTAGGTTAATGGTTGATTGATGTGTTCTACATTGTATTACTAGGTTAACGGTTGATAGATGTGTTCTACATTGTATTACATGGTTAACAGTTCATTGATGTGTTCTACATTGTATTACTAGGTTAACGGTTGATTGATGTGTTCTACATTGTATTACTAGGTTAATGGTTGATTGATGTGTTCTACATTGTTTTACTAGGTTAACGGTTGATTGATGTGTTCTACATTGTATTATATGGTTAACGGTCTATTGATCCTTCGACATTGGAGTTTATGGATTAAGAGTACACAGAAATTAAAAAAAAAAGAAATCATGCATGAAAGTAACTTATCAGTAGTATCACTAAGCATTATAGAAAAGTTCAAGAACAATGTAACTATTGTTCATTTTCACTTTTGTCTTAAACTGAAATATACTTATACTTACATGTGTCTTCACTACAGGCACCACCTTCGAGGCCAATTTCATCAGGCCCTAGACGAGTAAGGCATTCTATACTGCTAACTTAACCTTGTCTAAACTGCCCATGTCTGTAGCATGTCATCAGAGTGTTTATAGTATTCTTGTTGAGATATTTGCAGCTATACTGGTCTGCTTCCAACATGAATTAATGTACATACAATAGACATTTTTTCAAATGTTAGAGACTATCAGACCCTGTTAAAAATGAGACAAATAGAAAGATTTGTGATTATGACAAAAAAATTACAATCTGAAAAGGATATCAGAATTTTATTGTTTTAAAAAATGTTTGGATGATGAAAATGTACAAAATACAATGGAAAATGATGACTCGTTATGTATGCTATTTGTGTATATTTAATCTGTATTGAAAGATCAGATGGCTATTTTCAGTGAAAAATAACATGTATAATTCTTCATTTATCTATGTACCTCAGCCTCTGGTCTACAAGCATTTTTAAGTATGTTAAAAAAAAGAGTTCATGTTTGAAACAGAATGAAGGTATTAAATAGTGTGCCTGCTGGCCATCACTGCTGTTTGATATTTTGTGGTCATTTCATTTTGCTTATTTTTGTTGATCTTCTTTCTTTTTTTTTAATGAATTGTTTGCTTTGGAATTATTTTGTCTTAGTATCTCTTTTGACAAAACAATTAAAAAATAGCTTACTTACTTGGGTTAAACTAGGAATATTTATACACTTTATATGTGCATGGTTGTTTTTCATAAAATTTTAGATCAAAGGTTCATTTGAAATGAATTTTAGTTTTAGATATAATTATGTTTCATTCATTTGCTGTATCTATATTTGGCTTTCATGTATTTGTACTACCTCCATTTCTTAAAAATGTTAGCACGACATGGGTGAATCAGGAAACAATTAAAAACGTTTTGAAGAAATATCATATCTCACAAAATGAATAAATGAGAGGAGAAAAGTTACTTTTATTGATCCAACATCAATCATTTTCTTATTTTATGATATTAGATAGATACACAATCATAATGTTTTCAGTATGTATCATTTTTACACATTGAAAGAAGATTAAGCTAAAATGATTCCTTTTATCTTTGTTGAATATTTCCCAACATAAACTGTTTTAGATTCACAGTTCACCGCAGCTCATTTAAATAGTTGCCAGCATGTTTAAACAAATTCCATGATAGCTACATGTAAAAGAATGATATAGTTTTATCAAATTCAAGTCTAGATGTATTTATTTTCACATTTGTTTTTTTCAAATTATATTCCATTGTAAGAAAAATATTTTAATAGGAGATGATGTTTGTAGTGCTATTATAACTATTGCATCTAACACCATTCTATCAATTTGCATGTTGTTTGCTCAAAATTGATTGAAAAGTGATTATATAATTTTTTGAGACATAAAAAAAACTGAAAATAACAGTATTCTATTGGACTTGTGTGTTTCAAGGTTTAATTTCATACTAATTTATGATAAAATGCCTTTATATATGAATAGGTTATTAACATTGGTAACAGTGGAGTGGAAAACCAAGCTTGCTGCTACAGTGATATAGCAGATTCTTAATGTTTTAGCGTATTGCAGATTAATGTTAGCAATTGACATACAATAATTAGCCATGTCTTTTCAATTCCATGGAGCACAAATCTGTGACATTTATTGTTGCAACCATGATAGTTCCTTCAAAATTAATTCATCTGACGAATTCTCTATCATAGCTTCACAGAAATGCTTTGAAGTGGATGGAATTCAGTGTTTATATACATAATATATTTATCATTGGAAATATTCATACTATTTGCCTATTCAGTATTGAAGAAGATCAGAAGGTGCAGTAGCTACAAAAAATGTCCGCTTTACCCTCCCAAACACATGGTTTTATCATTCTCCTACCACTAGCACCCCTGTCCATCTTTCCAATGTCAATATGTTTCCAATGTCTCCTAAATGTTGAGTTGTACTTGTACCCTCCTGCTTCACGTTTGCACAGACGATAAATCATTTATCTCCCGTGATTTTGGACGATGTTCTGGTACATTCTATGGTATTTGCTGGGATATTTCCCGTGATTTTGGACGATGTTCTGGTACATACTATGGTATTTGCTGGGATATTTCCCCGTGATTTTGGACGATGTTCTGGTACATACTATGGTATTTGCTGGGATATTTCCCGTGATTTTGGACGATGTTCTGGTACATACTATGGTATTTGCTGGGATATTTCCCGTGATTTTGGACGATGTTCTGGTACATACTATGGTATTTGCTGGGATATTTCCCGTGATTTTGGACGATGTTCTGGTACATACTATGGTATTTGCTGGGATATTTCCCGTGATTTTGGACGATGTTCTGGTACATACTATGGTATTTGCTGGGATATTTTTTCGCTGTTTTCGAGAATGAAATCATGAATAAACTAATGCCATGGAAATATAACTTTGGTAAAACCACAAGAAAAGAACCATTAAAAAATAACCTTTATGGTTGTTTTCAACGTGGAATGCCTTTGTCTAATCTTATTGATTTTAGATTCAGCTTTATCCTTAACAGCACACTTATGTTATGATACGAGGTTTTATTTTATATTTTTTGTATGATATAAGTATTTATTATTTTTCGATGACCTATTTTCTTGAATGTGTTTGATTTGTTGTATTTCTCATTGTTTTAAATTGCATATCATCTGTTAATGTTGTTCTCCACCAATCATATTGAATTTTTAGTGCAGCCCAACAAGTATTCATGTTCTTTCTTGCTTGTCATATTTTCAAAAGGAATTGATGATATATTTACAAAGCATGGGTTGGTTTCTGGTTTCCTTATCGTTAAAAAGGAGCAATATTGTGTAAATGATACGTCGTATAAAAAATAATTCAGAATTTCAGGATGGTTTCATAGGTCTCTTTACAACGAAACCTTACATAATGAATTAATCTGAACATTGATATATTGTTTTATAGCAACAGGCCAGTAGGGTGAGGACAAGTCGTGTCCCAGGAGGGGCCCCAGAGAGAGATCCCACCATATCAGGCCCTCCTCTTCCGGATCGCAACTACACGATACCAAACAATCCGCCTACAAAGGTGCGATCGTCTGCGGCAATGAGTGGAAGACCTCTGCCGAAACGACCTGACGAAGCTCACCAAAGACTTCTGAAAAATCAGGCAAGTTCATTAAATCTATGATTAATAGACTTTGGTAATGAATTAAGAAAATTGGTGCTACTAAAAAATATATGATTAAAGTGCTTTTTAAAACATAAGATATTTGCTTCTGTTTAGATAAATGCTATCATGTTGCCTTAATTGCTTTATTTGAAAATAAGTTACACAAAAATCTTTAATATTTTCAAGAGTTATACATATATTCTTGAGTCCCATGGAGGCAATATTTGTGCAACGATTGGATTTGGGGAAAACGGCTAAACTTACATTTTGAGTGATTGTATATTTAACATAGGTACATTGATTCATCAAAGATTTTACTATACATTAACTGGCTAACTATGCTTAGAGAGATGCTATAAAGTCAGGCAATGTCATACTGACAAGTAAAATAGAACTCAATTCACCTACCAGAATGCAGAACAACTCTGATTGTGTTCGTCTCTATGAAAAAAGAGTTGAAATAGTAAGTGTCTCAGTCACTGTAGACATTGTTATCCCACTATGTATCTTGTTATTCATTTGTATAGTATAGTAACTCACTGTATATCTTATAGTTTATAACTCACTGGTCTACATGTACTGAATCCTGCCTTATATCACTTGGTTCATGACATCTTTTCAAACTTGAGATGACGGTCTGTTCTTCATTTCTGACCTTATCTACACACTTAATTCTTGAAGAACAGGGAGCTAGCTGTCATTGGTATTATTATAAATCACTTCTAGGGACAATTTAATGTAAATGTGCTTTTGTAACATATTAAATATCTTAAAAAGATACTGCTTCATTTTTCATTAAGAAAATAAAATCCTTGATCGTCTGACTGAATGGTTTAAACTTATTTACAAATTATAGTTTTGTAAAGATTGACTAAAACCTCACTAAGATTGATTTACTCATGTCAGCATCCTAAAAATATGTTGTCAGCACAAACCCTTCATTTACGTGTTGTTTGTTGACATAAACACATTTGTGTGTGCTATTAAAAAGTAAAAATAAAACTGATGACATTGGCTATACAAGGTACCTTGGTATTACCAGCTCACACGTTTTATGATATGTGATGGATTTTCATTTCCTGATCAAAGTGAAATATGTAGTTTGACTTTACTAAGTGTACACCAGTTTCCTTTCGGAACGTTTCTGGAGGAAAGCATGTATATCTATAAAGGTGTGCTGTAGATTTTCAATCCAAACAAAATATTGGCTTCAAATATTGAATTATTATTGCAATTTACATTGTCTCATAATAGAAAATATAGAGGCATATCTCATCATACATAGATCAGTGAGATATACAATGCACCATTACTACCCTGATATAAGTGATGACAACTGTACACTGACTAACATATCAATCATACTGAATCATTTCATCACATTTTGTATCCTATAGATTCTTTCTTTGTACCATAGAGTTCAAAATATTCTTCACCATTGAAGTACATTTAGTATATATTTTGGAAATGTGTCTGAAATATTCAGAACGTAAGTGTGACTTCTATACACTATTAAATTTTGACAGTAGATTTTGTTATAGTGTTGTAAAAGAAACTTTATTGCACACTGTTCTAGAAAAGAATGGCTAAAAATACTTTAAAATGTATCTAATTCTGTTACCCCTATTTATAAAGTGTTAAGTGTTTATCATCATTTCTTGTTGTGTTCTGATCCTGTGTAATGTAGCTCTTTTAACCTTGTCAATCGTGTTTGGAATTTAGGCTCATCGGTCGTAAATTAGCAGGAAATCAGGTAAATTAGATTTAACGTGTGAAATTAGCACGCCTGTGTAATGTTTATTATTTCTTTATTTCTAAGCTTTTGATATTGAATGATTTGTAGAATTCTTATATTCTGTATATCAACACACCAATTGGTACCAGGAGAATTTTATCTACCTTAAAAAACAATAAGGCTTCGATAAATATTTCATATTTCCTTCATCCATCCTCGATCCTCGGGGAATTTCGATCACTATCAGTCTCTGCACCCATGGAACATTTCATGGCGAAACTAAAGGCACAAGCGAAGTAATTTGATTGGTCTAGAGCAGAATTCAGGAGAAAAAACATGACCAATCACAGACTGATACACTCCATGGAAGGTTACAAAGGAGCAACACCCAACTTCAAAGCCAACATTTAATTCATTTAGAGAGAGGCATGGTTCAGAATAGGCACATGTACTTGGCTTTTCTCTATAGTTATCAGATTTGTAAAACAATCCAAATTTATTTAAGCATTTGGCTAGTGCACCTCACCATCAAGATTTTGATACTGAATATGATCACTTTGGAATTACTGCCTTTGCCTTCTAGTTTTCAAAATTTAAACCTTAAGCATCATTGCAGAGTCATAGAAGCATGACATGAAAGTATGATGCACGTTCATTCATTTTTTGACTCTATCTATTTGTATTAATCGATGCTCTTCACTGGTGTATCTTTTATACAATCTTCTGTATGCAAAATAGTTTGAGTGCATGCTTTATATTTTCTGCTCTGACGATTTTCTATGGCCAAATTTCGTCATTCTTCTATACTCATCTCTCCTTACATGTTAATTATACTGTCAATTTGAAATAATAGCTGCCAGGATTTTTTTCTTTACAATGTTGTATATGAAGAAGCCTTTTGAATGATTAGAAAATTTCATTTAGTTAGCAAATATTTGCTGTAAAATTATATGAAGCAACATGCTGCTTTATGGAAAAATTAAAACCTTGGATCATATTGATCAAACCTTTCTGCCTGTTTTGATATGTTGAGTGACAACTTATTTCTGACTTTGAATTCAGAGATCTGTTTATTACTATTTTCATAGGAGAAAGTCAATGTTGTATATGTAAAAGATTAATATTTAACTTATCCATATATACATATCTTATCATTTTCCATATGAATCAACTTTTCTGTTAATGCAAAATAACATATGTTCAAATTAATCCTTATATCTCCAATGTAAGCCAATTCAACATATTCCTTATTATCAATATGTTAAGATTTCTTTGATAACAGTACAACTACTACTATAGTGATGATAATATTGACAGAAGACAACTTTATTAATGAATGTGTTTTAGATAACCACTTCTTTGCTCCTATAAAAGAATGCACCGCTATATTGTACGATGCCAATGAAACACCAGTGTAGGATGATACAGTGAAACCCATGATAAAGTGAACTGCTGTTCATTTCATCATTATGGTGAAATAAACACACACCCACCCCATAGTAAGGTGAAGAAGCATTATAGTTTGTTTTCAATTGCTGTTTCTTCACCTAATTTTTTATCAGTTTACTTAATTATGTTCCTCAATACATGATAAAACAAAAACAAAGCAGGGGTAGGAAAATTAAGGGTGGGGCAGGAGGCTTCACATTATCATGGCCACGGTAAAGTGGCGGGGGGTGGGGTGGGGGGGGGGGCTTCACATTATAATGGCCAGGGTAAAGTGAAGCATAACACTATTTTCTTACTTGTTAAATTTTTGTCACTTTTTTTACCATGAATTGCCCCCATTTATTTAAACACACATGGATCAAAAAAATGTCTGGGTAGGGGAAATTTAGGATGAGGCAGTGATCATCAATGATTTCAACGTGGCCAAAATCAAAATTGCAATTTATCTGATAACAATTAATCATAAAACTTTTTCAAGAGATTTCATATTAGTTACTAAATAAAAACATAACTAATTAATTATTTGATACTTATTCATTTTATTGTATGTTATCAAGCACCATTTTGTATTTATATAATATCATAAACAGAAACAAACTTTTTAAATTTAGCGTAGATATTTGAGTGATGTTCCACTTCAACAAATGGCTGATGATGTACAGCAATATAAGGGTAAAAATTCCAGGGCACAAAATCTTTAGCAGAGTGAATGATTTCAGGGGTTCATGATACTCGCTCTATGGACATAATGTTATACACTCTATGGACATGTTATACACTCTATGGACATGTTATTCACTCTATGGACATGTTATACACTCTACGGACATGTTATACACTCTATGGGCATGTTATACACTCTATGGACATGTTATACACTCTATGGGCATGTTATACACTCTATGGACATGTTATACACTCTATGGACATGTTATTCACTCTATGGGCATGTTATACACTCTATGGACATGTTATACACTCTATGGACATGTTATTCACTCTATGGGCATGTTATTCACTCTATGGACATGTTATTCACTCTATGGGCATGTTATTCACTCTATGGACATGTTATACACTCTATGGACATGTTATTCACTCTTTGGACATGTTATACACTCTATGGGCATGTTGTTATATCTGATATTGGTGTCCATTGAGAAGTACTTAAAATATAGAACCGTTTTAAAGTTATCTGATCTTGATGAAGAAACATCTTTTTGTCTTTCACAAGTCAGCCAAGATCAGTCCTTCCCTCACATGCTGTCTATACTTTGTTAACATGACATTGCTAATGATTGAAGGATTTTTCTTTAATAAGACTACAGCAGCATTCTGAATCAAAGAATGAAATTGGAAATAATATATCTTGTGCATCAACATAATCTTACAATTTTTTTATAAATCTATTACAATTATTAAAGTTTTCTGTGAACTTGTGTAATAGATGAAGACAGATATAACATTGTATATTAACATATTGTATGCGAATGGTATCCAGAAATCATACAAAATTATACAAATTAAAGGAAAAACAGCTATTCCACCAGTGAAGTGAAACAAATTGTTGCTATGTCACTCAACTAAAATCAATGAAGACAATTCAAAGCACTTCATACTTAATGAAGGTATGGTCATTTATACTGAGATAAAGTCTGAAGAATATCATTTTAACCTTATAAAGTACTGATCATGATAACATGTGTCATTAATTTTCCAATAAATGGAGGGGTTGAATGTTCTCTTTGAAAAAAATGGGGGGAAAAAAAACTATTTTTACAACAACTGCCTAACCAGCTGTCAACTTTAAATGTTATATAATCATTCTTGCTGT